AACCTTCGTCTTCCGATTCATCCCGCTTTGAAGCAGAAATCTCTGATTTAGCTCGCAGCACGAGGAAGCATCACGAAGTTCCGAGACACACCGTCAAAGACCACGGTAACGAGATATCGAGCTCGAACAAGCTCGATCCGCGAACTTGCCGCAGTCGAGTCGAACTGGAAATCTCCGTAAGCCTGGGCTAAACCCCGCGGATACTGCGAGCCCTTCCGGCTGCTTCGAACCGCGAGAGCACGATGCACGTCGATACTCGGGTAGATCGACGCATAGACTTCCATCGCCGGCCATCTTCCACCTTGGAGTGCTGGAGAGCGGTGCTTGTGCTCGAACAACGGACTGTGGTTTCCGAACACAGTGGTTTCCAGGCGTGTAACATGCAGAGAGGCAGCGCGCGCTGGAATGGAAGTCAGTGAGACACCGGACGAGGACGTGGACCGATCGATAGGCAGGTTAAGCACGACTTCCGGTATCGAGCGCCTCTCCGAGTCGCTCAACTCGAGCGTCCGCGACACGTTGAACGCTTCCGCGGACATTTACCAGTCAGCGAACGTCATCTGGACCGCGATCAAGGGCGTGGTGATCATCGGGATCATCGTGACCGCTCTGGTTGGCAACGTGTTGGTGATCGCCAGCGTCAGGCGGCACCGGAAGCTCCGCGTGCCGACCAATCGATACGTGGTGAGCCTGGCGGCGGCGGACTTTCTCGTCGCGGTTTGCGCCATGTCTTTCAACGCGTCGGTCGAGCTGACCGGGCAGTGGATGTTCGGGAGGATCATGTGCGACGTGTGGAGCTCGTTGGACGTTTACTTCTCCACCGCGTCGATCCTTCATCTCTGCTGCATCAGCGTGGACAGGTACTACGCGATCGTCAGGCCGCTCGAGTATCCCGCCATCATGAGGAGGATCACGGTCACTTGCATGCTGGGCAGCGCCTGGCTTCTGCCTGCTCTCATCAGTTTCATACCGATATTCATGGGCTGGTACACCACCGAGGAACATTTGGAGGAGCTGAGGAAGAATCCTCAGGTAGAGACCCTCGAGCCTTAAGCTTTGAGATCTTCGATCTAACATTATCCCTCGAGATATATCTTCTGAAGGTTAAGAGAATTAATTCGAGTTCTTTTTCTTTGTCTGGTGGTGGTGAGGGTTGATTCTTCCGACAAAGGTCACAGAGTACAGGGGAAAAGACTGTATCGAAGATTAAGAGTCCTTTGTCGAAGATTTTATTAATTTTCTCGCGTTAGTTTTTTTACGTCTTCTCGATCCTGTCTTCTTCGTTTTCGCTTTCTTCTTTAGGAAGTCCACTGTTCCTCCAGCATTCGCTCTTCCAGCGAATATCGAAGTCAAGGTTTCTAAAGCATGACAATTCCAACTCCCTCGTAGCCGTTGAAGATGAAATCTTCTCTCTTGTCGAAGCTTTTCGATTCATTGTGCGTCGTCTAGTCTTATTAAAATGGTAGAACCAGTGATTGCAGAATTTTTAATTTCTCATCAACGAACGATATTTTCTAAATATTTCATCAAGAACGTCTTTCCATATTTTCACGAAGTTCAATCAAATTCTCTTTTTTATCAGACTGGAAAGACTTTTAGCTCCTTGGCTATAGCAGACTTCGAATCGCGACCTGTGCTGAGAAATTTCTCGTCCGCGTATACATTTCTCAGAGAGTATATTGAAATAATCAAAATAATGAATTATGCACCACAATAAACTAAAATATTATTTACTTGTTCTTTCGTATTCGTAATTGTTAGTGCACGTACTAAAAATTTAACAGTGACTTTAAACTTTATTTCGTAATCTAATAATCTAGTAAAGTGTGGCACAATTCGAAACATAATCCTACATCACATTTCTTTGCATCTGTAATGTGTTTCTCTTCTTCATTGTTATGTTTTCGACACACTATACATTCGCGCCTTTTTGTGATTAATTTATTACCATAATTTTTCATTCCAAGGGTATCAAATGGAATAACTGTGAACTAATCACGTTTAAATAACAGTGACTTTAAACTTTATTTCGTAATCTAATAATCTAGTAAAGTGTGGCACAATTCGAAACATAATCCTACATCACATTTCTTTGCATCTGTAATGTGTTTCTCTTCTTCATTGTTATGTTTTCGACACACTATACATTCGCGCCTTTTTGTGATTAATTTATTACCATAATTTTTCATTCCAACTAATCACGTTTAAATAACGTATAATTAATCGAGAAAGATGTAATTGTTGAATTAGAACTCACTTACGTCTGACCCAAGTGAAGTATGCTGCAATTATTATCAATGACATTTACATGAAACAATGTAAGTAATAATACATGAAATAACTGTAAAATAATCACGTTTAAATAATGTACGACTAAAGGAAGATGTAATTGTTGAATTAGAATTCACTTACGTCTGATCCAATATTCTTTTGTTGCAATTATTGTCAATAACATTTGCAATGTGAAGTGAGCGCCTATAGGCGTGTTTAGGCGCCAACAGTAACCTAAATAATTGGAGGTTAGGAACAATCTGTTCGTTTCACGCGATACAGTGTTTTCACGTCCGCCTTTCTCTTAAAGTCAATCTCATAGATTGGACAAAGAAATTCACAAATCCTTTTCAGATTCACAATCGTTTTATCGTGGTTTTTATCTTTCCAACCTTGTTCTGCCTCGATCATTGAACGTCTGAAAATTGATTCGATTTGTTCCTCGTTACTGCTTCCACGATAATCCGGCGAGTTCGAGCTGTTCGTTTCTACGCGTTCGCCGCGTCGATAAGGAAGGAAGGATGCCTGATAACCGACCGTTCAATTTTCTGTCGTCGTCGGTTAATGGAATATTTAATCGAGTATTTACACTCGAGTCGCGCGCGAGACTCGCAGGCCGGAATTTTCAATCCGGCGGTGAATCGAATCGAGAGGATGAAAAGAGAGGGACGCGGACAGAGTCTTCGAAATTTGCATAGAGATGATTTCCCCGTCTGTCAGCGAATGAAAGTATGAAGCTGCGAACGGGAACTCGGGATTAATAGCTCCGATGATTCTACGTCGCGTTTCCTCTGTCGGGATTTCGTTTTCGCTCTTCGATTTCGTCCATTCTATTTCCTCGTCTTTATCTACTAGTCTTACGTAGTTACGTAGACCGTACGTACTTCACGATGTACCTGTTTAGACAGCTTGTTGGAAACGTTTTACATTTTTGCTTGAACTTGAACGGAAGTTTTTGTTTCACCTACCGAACGTTACATTCCTGGCACTTTGTAATCTTTACGAAAATTATTAGTTGGTGATATACGACTCGAGGAACCAGTCAAACCAAATCTCTCGAATAATTCGAACGGAGGACTTTCCTCCTAAAATCTGTCCAGAGGAATTGATCAAGTATTGACGAGACAATGTGGTGAAATTGTGGCTATGGAAACTATGCGAAAGCATTCAAAGAGAGAGAATGAGAGAGAGAGAGAACGACGTACAAGTGAATTAACAGACAACGAACCATTTGAATCATAGTTGTGTTTCCTTGACACACGAAGGCAAAAGGGCGGAACATCTTCGCCAGTTGCACAATGCTTCTTGCTCAAACATAGCCGGAGGAGAAGCCAGCTCCGAAACAACACCGTCCCGTTGTTATATATTCCAAGTCATATTCCGTTGTATATTATAGCCTCTCATCCGTGCATTCGAGCACTTATTACTTTGTTCGAACTGTGTGTACTGCTGTCGAGCACCGCACGTCTGTTAACCTAGTTGCGTCACGCGTCTACACACACAGGCGCGGCGCTCGCGTTATTATAATTTAACCCCGTGAAATTACAGCCGAGGCAGAGAAACCGACGTCCGAAGGAACGCGCACCCGGTAAATTCATTACTTTCCGAGGTCTGGCTTTCCCCAACGACGTCGTTAGTCGCGACAATGAAGAAGATTCTTCGTTTCTACATCCATTGCAAATTTTTTTATACAATTTTCTTGGTAATTCCCACAGTTTTGTCGTTTCCCCTTGGAATTCCTTTCTTCCGTTTCGAAGAACTCGCGTCTCTTTCGGTCCGGTTAAAACGTCCGGCTTCACGAGAGTTTTATTCCGTTGAAAATTTCTACATCGAGATCTACATCGAGATATTCGTAGGGATTGACGTTTCGAGACGTTTGTAAACTGTATTCGCGATACACGGTCAAGGAAATTTATTCAATTTCTCTTTCGTCACTCATTGTTATATTAACATGTTAAGTACCGTGCTTTCTTTACTTTTCCATTTATCTGTCGTTCGATATGGTTTCTCGGTAAATAAAACGCAAGATCACATCCAGCATTCCGAGTCGGAAAATTTTGCAAAAATTGTTCTGAAGGAAATACAACACTGCTGGGAAGAAATATAAGTAGAAAACGTGACTAAGAAAGTGTGCAAAGGAAAACCAAGTGTATCTTTGCCTATACTCTTTTAATAAAACCCATTAAATACTATTATAGTATTAATGCATCATTATACTGTATAATATTTATTATATAAATTAATATTGATATATTTATCACATAATATAAACATCAATATTGATTTAAATATCATATAACATTTATTCTTTAGTATAATTTAGTAATATTTAGTCTTTAATATAAATAAATATAATTCAGTAATATTTAGTCTTTCTTAAATACTATATAATATTTATACTTATTCTTTTAATCTGTAATATTACAGCTACTATTCTTTAATCTGTAAAGTACACGTGTATTGAAAATTGAAAAACCAGTGACCGACGCGATACTTAACGTGTTAATATTATATATTCATGATGCATATTAATGATCGCTGGGAATTTGATTTTGACAATTTTGACAACTTGTACAATTTTGTTCTTCATCTATTTATTTACATTCAAACATCATCGACATTTCGTCTCGTTAGTATCGTTCGAAACGTTACGTCTACTACTCATGTATTCGTTCGCGGTATTTTTGTCCCGCCGCGTTAGCTTTATTCATAACCTCTCAGCTTTAGCCATTTATATCCTCGCCATTCTTAAATTGATTCCCGTCTGGCGTTTATTTTCGATTTCGTCGTGCTCGTTTACTAACTTCTTACCTCTTTACTTTCAATTTCCTTATTTCAATAACAGATATCGCTACGCCCTGTTTTATTTTTAATCCCCTTCCGTACCATTAACCCGTTCCGTTTCGTTCCGTTTCCAATCTCCCCTCTCTCTCTCTCTCTCTCTGTCTCAGTTTTTCAATCCTCTTAATCTTGCACCCGGATTTCTTTTAATAATATCGGCTGTTTCGATTCCTCTCGGCGTGTCTTCTTCAATTTCCACTGCCTTCACTTGCTCCTCCTCCCACGGAGATAAATGTAGGAGAATTTTCTTGTAGGAAATATTCATGCACGAAGTACTCTTCACCTTTGAGGCAAATTTCGCTGAAGTAATTACACTGGAAAAAAAAAAGATACGCTCGTTGTTATTTATTTTCCAAGAATTCCCCTTCTTTCTCATCGCACTTTTCGCGTCGGTCGTGCAAAAGTGATTAATCAATTGATTAATGTATTCATTTCGAACGAGTGAGAAGCAAAAGAAGAGGAAGGGATGAGAGAGCAAGCGTCACCAGGCGAGACCAGATGAAACTGAAGGAAAAAATAAAATCCAAGAATATGGCGAGGACAGTGATGAGTAAAGATGGATAAATCAGACAAGATGGAAGGCAAATACAAGTGAAGTGAACGCAGGATTTTTATGAGAAGCTGAAAGATGTAGAAATAGAGAACATTTCGCGCGCAATGTGCGAAAATGGACACGAATTTCCGCTTAAGCTACTTAAATTTCTTTAACAGTTGATCAAAATCCGCAGCCTAGTAACAAGTAATATTTAATTTTAATTAATGGCTAGAGAAGGAAAACTATCTCAGCTGTCAATAATTACATTATTTCACCACCTAGTAAAATAAATATAACAACGAAGAGAAATGTGAAGTTTATTGCCGATAATCTAGAGACAAGTGTTTTAATTATTTATAATCCACGTGCAAAAATAACGAATGGTTCGTTCGTCATTCACCGATAA